TTTTTGTTTAGGCAGTCTTAGGAACATGGTAATGTACATTCCATGGATCCGTCCATAGTACATAACTGGTGTAAGGATTGTAAGCAAAGAATCAACTCGTAGCTAGGGATGTATCCCCCGATACTAAGGGGTGCAGTATTCTTTCCAAATCCAGCAGGTAAGCCCAAAATTTGAAAGCTGCCGGCTTGAGTCGATGGTAGTGAAAGAGAGCGAGACCAGCAGCACTCTCAATAGAGATGTAACATAGAATGATGAAATTCACGGGTGGTGACTCATTGAACTCCATGTCCCCAGACCCCTTACATATTTCATCCTTATCCAACATCATGATCTCTTGTTGAAACTTCTATACCTTTATACATGTAGATACTCATATGATTAGTCCTAGCCGGGGGTTCTGCTCAAGAATATTTGCTTACCTCTCTTTTCTCTCTTCCCTTGTTCCGTTAATCATTTGCTTCCCCTTTGTCATACAGAATCAATAACATTCTATAAGTTTTTCAAATACAATTAATATCCTCTACACATTTATATACATACGATAGTAACCATGGCGAGTGTTCAGCAAGATAAGCCTGCGGTTGTCTGTGTATTGTGAGTGAATCAACCCCTCCCACACCATGATCCGCGGAAAATCGCAACAAATGACAACCATATAACCCGTACTGATTATCAATGGAACCATGTAGCTGCGGCTCAGTCTCCGGTAACAACTCCGTTCACCTGGAGACAGCCCGAGCCCTTGCACACGAGTTTCACAAGAACAATATCCAACTTGTCTACGGCGGCGGCACAGCGGGCCTCATGGGTGAATTGGCCCGCACCCTCGTTTCTCTTTCCGGACCCCAAGCAGTGCACGGTATTATTCCCCGAGCCTTGGTCAAAGTCGAGCCCGGCTATGACAATGCACAAGAGGAGAGGAACCCTTCTGCGGTCGTAAGCGGGAAAGAAGCAGAGCGGGTCGTCAAGGAGCCTATGGGTAAGATCGGGACGCTGAAGGAGTCAGAGTACGGGTATACCACCATCGTCCCGGATATGCACACGCGCAAGCGCATGATGGCTGAGAAGGTCCGAGAGGGTGGCCCGGGATCGGGCTTTGTGGCGCTGGCGGGCGGGTTCGGAACTATCGAGGAGGTCATGGAAATGACTACCTGGAATCAGCTGGGAATCCATAAGCTGGGCATGGTGTTGCTCAATGCCAATGGGTATTGGGATGGTGTGTTAGCGTGGGTGAGGAACTCAGTCCAAGAAGGCTTTGTCAGTCCTGAGAACGGTGAGATCTTGGTTGAGGCCAAGGATGTCAGTGAGGTTTGGCCCAAGCTGGTTGGTTATAAGATTAGCAATGGGAGGATGCAATTGAATTGGGGAGAGGAGTAGGCTGGCTGACTAGCCTACTGACGCGAGGGTTCAGCTTATACTCGGCATGAAGGTTTATCAACGCCGGTCATATTTTTAGAGGCTACCCCCAGTTAGAACTGGAGGATAGAAGGAAGAGTACAGGGGAAGGACTAGAGCGCCAATTACGATTTCATGACATTAAACAATGCACTGCGTCGGGAGAGTAAATGTCGTATTATCCCGATTTCGTACTAATGCCTGCGTATAACAATCCGAGAAAACAAAGAAGGGCTGCCGCAAATCTCCAGCATTGCAATGACCAATATTTTCATATCTATGGGCGTAACCTCAAAACCTACGAATCGACCTCCATCGTCTCCTCTTCTTTCGTCTCTCCCGACTCCACAGCCTCTAACAGCGGCACGAGTTGTTGACCTTCATAAAGCTTGAAGCTCTCAATCTTCCCCTTTCCTTCCTCTCCAGCAAGACCCACTACACCGACAGAAGTGTTATCAACAGTCAGTTCCTTATCCTGAGACAAAGTCTCCTTGAGTGCCCTGAGGCCATGGGTAATGAGCTCATCACGAGTACTGTTTGTAATCTTGTCCAGGTTCCGCTCCAAATAAGTCCGCGCCATCTGCGAACGAGCTCCGATGGCGCAGGCCAGCATTTCATGAATCATACCGGATGGCTGGAACTCGAATAGATGGGGGCCAGCTTCGTCGACGCCTGCGACGAGCAGGCCGACACCGTACGGCCGTTTACCGTAGTGCTGAGTGTTCGTTTGGGCGCGGTCAGCGATCTGAGTAACGATGCGGTCCACGGGGATTGGACGGCCGTAAGTCATTCTGGAGCCGAGTGACTGTTGCTTCATGTAGTTGGAGAGCACACGAGCGTCAGATGCAAGACCGGCGATAGCGATGCCCATGTGGGAGTCGATTTCGATAATCTTCTTCTGGTACGAGGAGAGCTCTTCGGCATTTCGCTATAGTCATCCAGACAAATTTTGCTCATGTTAGCAAGCCGCCCACGGTTTGTTTCTCGACAATCCAACCGTTGATGGTATTTCGAACCTTTAGGCCGACCAGAACTGCATGTGTCTTGTTAACCAGCCCCACCACGACAGATCCCTGTTTGACTGCTTCTTGCGCATATTCTACCTGAAATATCCGACCCTGCGGGGAGCTGTCCGAAGTAAAGAGATCAGTGATGGAGCTTCTCCAGATGGGACGGGGAGCTAGATGGAACGTCATACAAGGTAACCGCATCGTTATCATAGTTGTTCCTGAACATTATGAAAGTTTAGAGAAAGGAATTATCGGGAGCGAGGATAAATTGCGATATGTAAGTACTGCCAGAGAGGGAGGGGGCGGGGAGGTATAGTTGATGGGACAAGAGCTGGGGAGGAGATACTGTAGTAGGCAGTCAGACTGACGCGGTGACCAACGCAATTACCAAAGCTTCCGCTTGCTTGATGGAGGACTTGCCGCCTTGCCGCCTGAGGCACCAATGCATTGTAGCTGCCGCCTTGCGGTTCATCCAAACGTCACCTCAGCGACTGCATCGGCATCGGCATCGGCCATTCCGACTACTACTCGATCAAACGTCTCCATGCTGAAGGAGCGTTGCCTTCAAATCAAGCTCCACTAACTCGCCTGAGGCTATACCAGCTCGAGCTCCGTTTGCGCTACCGAAATACCAGTATATCTGCTTTCAGTGTCTGGACCTAGACGGTCCTGTTGCTCCGCATCATGACGGCCGGCCTCAAGACTATTATCGCACTGTCGTTCGTATGTGGTCCATCGACGTGGTTGCATACTGTGTATTTGAAACAAAAAAAAAGGATATTGCTAACATTTCTCTTTCATCACTCAGGTCCTTGCCATTGGCTTCCTACTCGTCATTCTTTCCTCGGCACTTTGGCACAACTTCTTACCGTTGATTGTTGTTGCAACCTACGTTGTTGCTCCCCTACCCAACTGGATCTGCTCACGATGTGCGAACCCAGATGATTTTATGGACAGCTCGGGAAATGCTGCAGCTGATTTCGGTCGTTTCTTTACGGGTTTCCTGGTCTTGATGGGCATTGGTAAGTTATTCCGAGTTCAAATGAAAAATGTTTAGCCATGATCGCATGTCGAGCTCTAGCATTCATAAACTAGCTTCCTTTTGGGGGGGGGGGG